CAGGGCCAGGGGGGACTCCCCACTGACCTGTGCTCCCTGCACTGCCTCAGCCTTTGAAATATACAAGAGCTTGTACATTTCAAAAGTAAGCCCCACAGGGAGGATTAGATCAGCAAGTCCCAGTGGGGCTCTTGTACATTTCAAAAAACAGAATCGCAGCAGAAGCAGCGCAAGCGGAGACTGCTTCAGTCTCTGCTCGCACCATTTCCACTGTGCCTTTACCTGCCCCATCCCCCACGGAGAAGGTGCTGAAGGGAACTGGCTGTTAAGCAAACTCTCCCCAGTACTGACTCCTGCTCCCCCCCACTTGCTGCCTCTCTTTGATAGAGGCGGGGGGAGGGACTAGTCACATTGCTAGTTGACTATCCAATAAGTTTCTATCAGCTACCCTTCTGAGAGTGAATAATAATGACATTTAGGTGGGAAACAACGATAATTTCCATACTGAAGTACCTGTGTTATTCTATAATTCTTAATGGCTGAATATCAGACTTTTTTTTTTTACAAATTGCAGTTGGAGTGGATCTGATGGTTGTTGCTAGATTTAGATGATGTTTATAAAATGCATGAAGATTTCTGCATGACTGATAATAGCAACTATCATAATAAGTATCTTTCCTTTGTATATATCCAAGAGCTTTAAAAAAGTCAGTATTATCATGCCCATTTTACAATAGAGAAACTGAAGCATAAAGCAGGGATCCAGAAGGCCTGTCAGAATCCCAGTTTTCTTTAATCCCAGTTCAGCACTGCATTCACTAGGTTATGCTACTGTATACAGGCCAGTGCTACAGCTGCTGTAAAACCTGTGTGACTCAATTGCCTTCAATAGATCTATGGCAACCTACAGTTGCTGAAAATCTGATATTGCACTTAAAATTATAACTGAATGGAAATTAGTTCTGGCTTTGTTTTTCTCTTTATTATATTCACAAACTTGTGACAAATTGAGCCTTGTTTTAGAACATTTTAACTGATGAAAACAGTGTAACGATTCCCTTTATTAAATAAATAAAATAAATCTATGCTACAGTATCTCTTTCCAGAGTTTAGTACATTTGTTTCCAATGGATTAATTTCCAAGTTAACTGATTTTGAAAAATGCCTGGCAGACAGTAATGTAAATAGATCAGATATACTGAGAGATGCATAATGCAACTTAAAATATGTAATTGCATTATATAAATATTACAATGATTGTTTTTTTGAAAATGGATCTGGCAAGTCTTCTCCCATAGAAGAATTAACACGTTTGGACTAGAGATTTCTGGCTATGCAGTATTTCTCTAACGTTGTGGTTTCCTGTGATTCCCTAAGGCCATGTCTTCACTACACAGTGGACTGACTGCAGTAATCAATCCACAGGCAGTCAATTTACCAAATGTGCAATAAATCGATCTCCAAGCACTCTCCCATCGACTCCAATACTCTACCAGGATGAAAGGGTAGTCAGAGTTGACAAGGACGGAACAGCCTCCACGAACCTTACTACGTGGAAGATGCAGTGGTATATTGTCTTAAGCTATGCTATTTGCATAGCTGAAATTGCGTAAGGTAGACCAATAGTGAAGACACTAGTGTAAAGAAGGCCTAATTTAGGGGTCTTTTATACTTTGTTTTTGTGTCAAATAAAAATGTGTTGCCAATACATAAATCACTCAAGGCTCTAGGTAATTAATATATTGTCATAGAAATAATTTTTTACCTAATCAAAATATATTTTAAACATTATTTTTTACACACTATTTGCTACAGTGAAAAGACAAATACAGCCTCCATTTCTGACCACACTTACACGCTTAACTTTATATATTGTGCCTGGTCCTATATATTTACAATCTGACCCATTGGGTCACATCCATATGCCTATACAAAATATCACTGACATCAGTGGTACTCCTTATGAGTGCAGGGACCAACCAGATAGATCAAATTGCTGATCTGTAGTAATTTCTATTCAAAAGAAAATTTTCCACAAGAACACTATACTGTTAGAACATGATTCCTGTGTTTGTCAGGTTTGAAAAAACGATGTTTTACATACACACATATATATATTTAGCATCTGACAATTATTTTGAGACTTTCTTGATCAATTTATAAATGAGCCATATAAAGCTGATCAGTTTAAATTAAGATTTTCTGTCTTAATAGGTTATAGCCTATCTAAATTCGGGTCAGCAGGTATGTTGCATTAGCCACATGCAAATAAAATTGAAGACTGGTGCAGATTTAATCCTAACAGGAAGATTAGGGTTCAGTTCGTGCTCTATAATTCTTCATGCCACACAATCAGAAGCATATGACACTCAAGCCTTTCATTCCTTCAAAACTTTAAGTCACATATGCCTTTTAAAACTGTCTTATATTGACTTGCTAAAAAATTAAAGAAAATTTTAAAAAGAACACTAACTGCAGCTCTGTAAGCAAGTACTCTGATCTGAACTCTGTACAATTCATCAAGATATATAAATATTTGAGTCAGAAAACACTTCTTTCATTAAATCAAGTTTTCTTATAAATGCTCTCTACTGCATTAGAAAAAAAGGAACAGATATATGCAACTAGGCACAAATTGCAGTAGACACTGCATATAATATTCACATAGAATTAAAAAAATCACACCGTCATAAAGTTACACAACTTTCTTTTGCTTTTAGATGGTTTAAAGAGAACATCACACTAACATTCCAGAAACCATACATTAACAAGAAAGGAAAAATAACTTCTCGCTACAAAAATAATAGGGAATGTGCAGCAATTTCCCAAGAAATTCAGTTACAAAACTTTTAGAGGATCAATGTTTCATCAGTACATCAACTATAAAATTGAACATATTTAATTTTGATTAGATCTCAAATAGGAGACAAACACCCAATGAGAGAGGCAGAAAAAAGGTATTTAAAATCGGGGGATAGGAAGAAATCCTTCAAGCACAAACAACTTTATCTAGGACCTCAATGTTATGTTCTTCATCTGTAATTAACAAAATAAAAATTAAAGTGAAAAAGGAGGAGTATGTAAAAGGAAAAGTTTACAGTTTTTGAGACCATGTGGTAGCCTTTGTGATTTGTGGGGTCCACAATGAGGGAACAGGGATATTGGGGATTAACTACCTCTTCTTTCCAATACCAGAGGGAAATTTTGGCTAGTTGGATTACAAGGTCACGTGTTGTAATCTGCACAATACATGTTGTCAACTTTGAGGTAACTCTGGTCATTTCACCCAGTGCCCTCTTACCTCCCACCACTATCTGTGAAGCCCGAATGTAAGTTGATTCCTCAACTCCACTCCTGCTGTGTGAAGAGATAACAATGGCAGGGCAGGACTGCAAGAGACAACTACTCTCAGCCAGCATGAAGGCAATGGAAAGATCAAGATGAACCACGACTTAGCTGCCATCAAGATTTATAGAGACAAAATGGGCAAGGTAATTTATTAGTCAAATTTCTGTTGGTGAGATAGACAAGCTTATGAGCTGACACAAAGCTTCAATAAAAGATATTACCTCACCCATATTGTCTCTCCAATATCCTGGAACTTAATACAGATACAACATTGCATACAGTTAGATTTATAAGCAGACCACATGGTGAAAGAACAAAAGGGATACACTTGATTAAAAGATACAAATATTTCCTGGAAGGTCAAAAGAAAAAAAGTCATCAATATTACACTCTTTTTATGAGGACATATGCCAGTGCAAAGCTGATGTAAAACACTTTCAATCCCTTTCCATTGGGTTTCACACTTGCTTTGCATAAGTGTAGTACTCTGCAAAGGAGTGGAGAGTCCAGTCACTTATACTTTCACTTACCTGTGAAGCATATTAGGCACCAGGGGAGAAGGGGTCAACCCCCACTCTTCATCCTCTGCCCCCCCCTGCTCCCCCAGACTTCACCCACCACCTCCTCCAAACATGCCATATCCCTGTTCTCCTCCCTCCCCCCACCCCCACTATGAGCACCCCCACACTGCAAAAACAGCCTTCTGTGGCAGGCAGGTGTTAGGAGAGAGGGGGACAAGCTGGTCAACGTTTTCCCCATGGGTGCACCAGTGCTAGTATGTCTTTGCCGTAAAGCACCATTATGTTGATATTGGCTAAATAAGAGATCAAGACTAGCAATATCTCGAATCACAAACTAAGTGCATGCATATGTATTGTGCCTATAGTGCGTGTGTGCGGGGTACCCTGGCTGCATAGATGTACGTGTGCATGGTGTGAGAACCTACAGAGTGGCTGCATTATGTTGGGGAATGCATACACTATGGGGTGTTGCACGGAAGGGTGCGTACTCTACAGTGTGCGTGTTGCCATTCCTGCACGGTTGTCCTGCAATCTCTAGGAATTAAAGGGTTCATCTTTAATTAAATATTACGCCATGATGAGATACCAAAATTGGCAGCCCTGTTTGTGTGCGCGGGGGGGGGGAAGAGTATTGGGGCGGGGGGTTGCACAGGGAGTGAACATGTTGCGCGCGGGGAGCGCAAGTAATTTCCTATGTCGGTAGCCGCGGGGCCAGGCCAGTGCTGGCAACAGGCGGGGGGAGCAGGTGGCCACGAGCCGGGGGGGGTGGGGGGGGGGGTCCCGGGCCCAGGCTGCTGCGCCACAGGCTCGGTGGGACTGGCTCGCGAATAGATTGTGTGGGGGGCGGAGGAACCGCTGGCTGCATCCGGGTCTCACTCACTCACCTATCATGGCCACGATGTGGGGGGAGGGAGGAGGGCGCGCGCACGCCCCCGTCCCGTCCGCGCTCGCAGCTCAAATTCTCGCCTTCAGCACGGGACTGAAGACGCAAACTGCGGGGCGGGCCGGTGGGACGGGCTGGGCCGTACTGCGCATGCGGAAACTTGGCGCGTGCCCCGCTGAGCGCAGTAGCCCTCTGGGTAGTGTAGTTCTCCTGTGCGCCCGCGCTTTCTTACTGTCGCCAGGGCTGGGGTGCGTGATCGGCGCGATTTCCTTTCCCCCGCTCCCCTTCCCCTCTCGCCCCGCCCACCTTCCTCACGTGACCGCAAACAGAAACCGGGCAGGTTGTTGACACGTTGCTTAGCAACCGTGAGGCGTCCCTAGAAGCGTGTCGGTGTTAGCAACAAAGCGTGTCAGTGGCCCGGCCCCCCCGACCCTACCTAGGCGACAGCAGGGGGTGAGGAAAGGCAGCAGGGGCAGGGGGCCAGGAAGGGGCAGCCGATATTCTTTTAGCCTGTGTTGTGATTCCTGTTTTCCACAGAGGTGCCTGGGGAGATGGTGGCAGAGAAGGAGGATTCGAGCCCCCCCAAGCTGCCTGCAGAGAGACCCCAACAACAGCAGCAGCCACTAGGCCAGGCGAGGAGAGCCAAGCAGCAGGTCACCGATGGATTCACGGTTAAAGCCATGATGAAAAACACTGTGGTACGTCTGCTGCCAATAAAGAGGCTTTACATTCATTTAGTCTCATCTGCCTGTGAAGCATGTTAAGAGGCGGTGGGTGGGTGGAAGGGGGACTGTGACTGCCAGAAAGTATGTAGGGTTGGTATGATTTTGTCTGGGGTTATGCAAATAGCATTCAGGCCTTGAGGAAATGTCAGCTTGAAGTAAGGGCGGTGTCTCAGGCTATTGCCATGCCTCTTGTTAAAATGTGTCAGTTTTGTGTCACCATATTGTTATATATTGCATAATCCAATTATATATTGATTTAAAGGCCCACCTATCATGGAGTTATGTCCAAACATAATTATGCTGTACATTATTAAAATATTACCATTTCATACCATGGCACTGAGTCAAATATGGTGAAATTATGACATACATATCACATTATCTGGGGAAAGTTTCTCTTTGCAAAGGAGACAGTCCTTAAATTCTCAGCTGAAAAAATGATTATAAGCACATATTTTTAATTAAAGGAAAACCTATACAAGGTGGTAAGATAAAAGAGTTGAATGTCATTATTTAATCCTGAAAACATGAAAAATATAGCATTTAAAAAAAGTCCAACAATAATCATGAAATATCTTTCACACAGTATTAGTAAATACTGTCTTGAAAATAAACATTCTTTTTTTGTGGATAGCCTTTTAACATGAGGAGGTCAAATAGGGGTTGATCCATCAATCTTTACTTTCACTAACACTTCTGCCATGAGTAATAATTGTGATATCCCATCCTGTCTTTATAGTGAACCTTTCCGACAATAATTGTTGTAATTGATTGCTTCCATTAAATGTAATAAATAAACCCCAAAGCTTGTGGTAATGCAGAATGCAGCTGCTCAGTTATTGAGTGGAAAGTGCTGTTATGGGCACACAACATCTGTGCTCAAATCTCTGTATTGGCTTTTTGTTTGCTTTTGGGTACAATTCAAGGTGTTGGCAACAGTCTCTTGCTTTATCCCTCACTCTGTCTTTAACTGCATATATGTTCCTGATAATAGTTACAAAATGCATGAAAAGAATCCCTAGAAACTGATCTGACCTGGCTCTGGAATTCATTACATATGTCAACATTTAGAAGGAAAAGAAACGAACAGTCTATCTAAATATAATGTAATCTGTAAAATGTATTTGAGAAATAACATTTCCCCCTTTTATAGGTTCCAATTGGGCTAAAAGCCAACAATAATTAAGTGCAAAACCCATCCCAGCATTGACCTATTATCACGTAATAATAAAAACACAATGTTTATTATTTAATGTTAGCAGCCAAATCACTCACACCCAGATGCTTAACTTTATGCAGGTGCATAATAAAATTAACTTCAATAAGATTATTCATAGAACATAATTATTTTATGCATAAAACTTTGCCTCAATCAAGCCTTAAAGACACAAAACATGATAGGTAAGAAACAGGGACATAACATAAAGCAAGCATATGAACAGTCAACAAACTTGAACCGTAATCTGAAATTAGTGATCAGTATATAGAGAACTGTTTGTTTTGTTTCTTTGTTTGTTTATTACTGCTTTTAATTCACAAAGTCTCCAGTCAGGATTTGGGCTCCGTGGAAACACAAAGAACTATATCATCACCATTCTGAAGCGCTTAGAACTAGAATTGATGCTCTACCACAGCTGAAATATGGGAATCCTCTCTTTCAAATGGCATAGAACATTTATCTCTAACCCTGAGGTTCATGAGTCCTCCATTTAGAAGCCATCAGTATGTATTTCCTAGATCATAACATTGTGTTTTTCTAATAGCTCTCATATCTACAATATATGCTAGTGAGCGACAGGCCCTCATGTCCAAAACCTAATTCTTACATTTTCACAAAAGCAAGCTGGTCTTTGATGCTCGTTTCAAATTTGTTCTGGATTTTCACTTAAATCAGCCTCTTACTTTGGTAATCTGCAATTACATTCATCCCACATACTCCGTAAAATGAACATTAGACAGTTTCTGTCCTTTTATTTGGACAGGTCATAGATCTTTTGTGAGTCCTATTTTCTCTTCTTGATTTCTGGGAATAAGTTTAGTGGCATTTCCATCCTTCAAATTATTGGATAATTATTGGCTGCAAATGCACAGACATGAGTTCATGAGACAATTTTCTCTATTTATACCTCTGCTGGAGTGTTACATAAAGTTCTGACTGTCTTTGGTCAGATCCACAAAAAGACTTTGGTATTGCAATGCTGAATATTGCATCACCTAATGTTTTATGTGCTCAGATAATTCAGGAACACCACTGTGATCCACAAACCCTGAGGTTAGTGTAGAACAGGGCTGCATAAAATATGGCTCACGGGCCAGATTCAGCCTACTGAGCCACGGGATCTGGCCTGCGGACGCAGCAGGGAGCCCCAGGCAGGCTCCCTAATTGCCTCGCCCCACCCACACTCCACTCAGAAAAGCAGCTGTCCGGACATTTCTCTGTCACCACTGTGAGCTGTTTCTGGCCAGTGAAAGCTGCCTGTTTGAAAAACAGGCAGCACACAAAGAACTACACCTCCCTCCCCTATGGCTTGTAATTATTCTCACACACACACACACACACACACACACACACACACACACACACGCGGGAAGCTGCATCAGAAATGTGCTGGGCTGCTGGCCCAGAGTCACCCAAGTAAGTCTCCCAGCCAGAACCTGTTTCTGGCACCCCAGCCCCTCCCTCCCCCAACCTTGTGCCCACCACTCCTGCCTCCCCTACCCCATATAACCCGAACTGTCTGCCCCTCTCCTGCACCCATACTCCCTCCCAGAACCTGCACCCCAGCCCTCTACCCCAGGTAACAAACCCCTTCTCCCCTAGGTCACATCCCAAACCCCAGCACCCCAGTCCCCTGCCTGGATCAAAACCCAAATCCTTACACCCCAGTTCACAACCTCTTCCTGTCCTATGTCACAATCCGAACCCTTCCACCACAGTCCAGTGCCCCAGATCACAACTGTTTCCTTCACCCAAGCTCCCTCCTAGATCCCACATTCTCTCCAATCCCTTACCCCAATCTCCCTTCTGCACCCAACTTCCATCCCAGACCCCGCACCTCCTCCATTAATATCATGGAAGAGTGCAGCCTTTGACCACTTTCCAGAATCTTGGAGTGGCCCCCCATCAAAAATTATTGCCCACCCCTAGTAAATAGGTTCCCTATACAATTAATGGGAAGAGGTAGGAGCCTAAGAATGTGATACACAAAAGTTAATTTGCTAGGCAGGGAACTGCCTAGCTAGCTATAGGCAGATACTAACTAAAAAGTTGTATACTAAGCCTCTTTCCTCTCATGGAGATAGACACCCTAAGTGCAGGCTGCACAAAGGCATCTAGCTTCATTTGGCCATCCACAAATGGGAGCCCATCTCCTGAAGTCAGGAAGTTTAAATGTTGACACTATTTTTTGCAGAAATAAGTGAGATGTCTGTGTAGTGCCATACAAAACAGCCAGAGAAGGTGGTGCTCGCCGTGTAACTTTTAGCCCAGTGGTTGGAGCACTCACCTGGGATGTGGAGATCCATGTTTAAGTGCCTTCACTACTAGAATGGAAGAAATAATTTGAACAAGGATTTAATTGCTCCATGGAATGTGCTCTAGCCAATGGGCTATGGGATCTTCTAATCTGAGGCTCCCTCATATTCTCCTGTTATATCTTTTCCACTGTCGATAAATACTTAAAAAGTGATTGGAGCAAGGAGACAGAACCTAGGGTCTCCCAAATGGATGTTTTATCTTCCAGGATATCATATTATTCTCCCTCTTGCTGGTAATATGATTTTTCCCCCATGGATAAATACTTAAATAGTCACTGAATGAGAGAGAGCACTGCTGGGACTCGGGAGATTCAGAGTCCAGTCCCCCTGCTCCAATCACTCATTTGTTATTTATCCTTGGTGAAAGAGCTTCAACAGGGGAGTTTATGGGACCCTGCCTTCAGAATATCCCATAGTTCTGTGATTAGAACACTCTTTTAGGGTGGCAGACCTCTGTGAAAATTTTGAATGGAACCCAATCTGATAGATGGCCTCAGAAGTTCATCCATCTAGCTTTCCCCCACTTTGTGGATTTTTCTGGGGCTAGAAGGGAGATAGGCAGTTGGACACCTGCGGTATGTCTGCTCTATGCACTTATTTCAGAATAACTCCCAGAATAACTATTTTTGAAATAGCACATCCACACTACTTGAAATTAGTCCTAGGCAGGATCTCCTAATGTGGATGCACAACCTCAATTTAGAGCCCCAGGAAGCACTGAGGAATAATTACTTTGAATGGCCCTGGTGTGGACTATTTTGAAACAGCATTTTCAAAACAGGCATTATTCCTTGTGAAATGATAGTTTATTATTCTGGAATAATAAACCTGTTACTCTGAAATAATTTTGAAATAACGGGCTTGTCGTGTGGATGCTCACCTTGCTATTTCGAAATAATGCTGTAGTGTAGACTGTTTAGAGTAAAACATCAGTGTCACAATCATTCAGAGTCATTTAGGCATGGAAGGAACTTCTTCCCTGACAGCTTAGATACTGAGTGAGTTTAAGTGCCTGCAGTATTTGGACTAAGTTTTATGAATCTCACTAGAGCCAAAAAATGAGACTTATGCACCAAATCTGGGGTTTAGGCCTCCAATTACTTCTGGGAATCAGATTGGAGGAAATGTCTAACCTTCTTTTTCCAATGTTGGTTTATTAACTTGAACTTCCCACCATTGTTGTTATCATATTTTCAGGTCTTGCTTTTTGTCATACACTTCATTTATTGGATAGATTGCACCCTAATGTATCAAGAATGTTTTAAATAACAAAACAACTCTCTCCTGTTTTCAAAACAACAAATCTGAGACAAGCTTCAAGAAATGATAATCTTTCAGCCTTTGGCAGCCATATGAATTATGGAAATCACATAATTACTTTTTAATTTGTCCTTTATGCCGCAGCTCTATCATCTCAAATCTTCAGTGCCTCACCA